TCTCTGTTGGCCATTCCAACCTCCTGTAGTGCCTCCAGGTGATGAAAAACTTTGCGATACATTGATTATCATTTCTCACCTACATCACGACACTTAAGGAAGTGGTTCTCCAGGCCATAAACTTCTACTTCTCCAGAAGCCACGCAGTGCAAAATTGCTGACCAAAGGTGCTGTTTGGTTCATGCAGCTTCCACATAGCTCCCACATAGTTCCCACCTTCTGATGTGCAGTGTCCTAACAGCTGTAGTTACATACAGTGGAACGAACATTCTGTGTAAACGCTATTTAAATTTTCAGAGAATTCTGTGCAAATTACCCAGTAAATTATAATTTATTGTGTTCATTTTTCTAGAATTACCTAGAGTAACAGTTGGGATCACAAGCTCATTAGAAGAGGTGCTATAAAGATGCATAAAACAGGTAACTGTCTTATTTCTGCTGTGACTACAGACCAAATGAAACAAAACAATAACAGCTTAAGTATTATCTTTTAGCATTGGAGGGTTGATTAAATATAAGGAGGTGAGATTAAAATCCTATACATAATTTATTTGAAATTACAAATTAAATGTGTGTGAATTACTCTATATAGAAAACAAAGAGTTGCTACATATGGACTACATGCTATTGAAGGCTAGCAGAAACAGCAAAAATGTTTTTATTTTAAGCCGAATATTTTTCTTTTACATATATGCTCTCTTAAACTTATAAAAAAAAAAAAAAAAAAAAAGGGAAAACTGCTTTCATTTGCTCTTATAAGGGCATCTGAATCTCAGCTAAGCTTCATCCTCCCTTCATAGACGAGAAGGGAAAAGCACCTCCAGAGAACAATTTGTGTGACACATTCCAGACAATAAAATCTTAAAATAAGATCAACTGCCTTGTGCAGGTACTTTTTTTTTGTGTCAGCTGACCGTAAGGGGAGCATACAAAGATTAACTCGGGCCTAGATGTCTAATTAGTAGCTGTCTCAGTCTTAGAGATGAATCCAACTTTTATGTATTGTAGGTACACAATTTGTCTGGCCTTTGTTCCAGTGAATGGTGGGCTGCAAGTCAATTTTATTGTATTGCAGCATTAAAACAAAATGTACGTCCTCTATTACAGAAGAGGAATGCAGCCTACATCTATTTGATCTCTTCCTTGTGTAACTTTGTACTGGTTTTGCGGAGGGAATGAGCATGTGACAAACTACAGCAGAGCAGTTGCTCAAATTCATGAAGATTGGAATAACTGAGGAATGCAGTGTTGGCTTTAAACAGCAATCATTACTGTGACGTAAAATGGAGCTGCAGTGATGACTTATTCTGGTACAGCAGAATTTAGACACGGCAGCTGACATGCAGACCTGTTACAACAGCAAACGGACAAGAAGGGAACTTTCCTACAGGACTGAATAACCAGAGGGGCAGGAAGGGATGGATGGATAACTGCTCCCTCCGTTACCAGCGTAAGGAACTGAAGCACAAAGACATGAAACTTGTGACGTGGGTGTAGTCGGCAGTCGGGCCCCATCACTGCTCCACTGTTGGCTTGTTTCTTCAAAACAGGGAGGGGCGGGCTTTTTTTGTTGAAGTGTGAACATACATCTCTGCTACGCATGACAAAAGTCACATCAGTCAAAGCAAACGGGCAAGTCCCACGCAAGAACCATTGACCCTTTAAATCCAACCACTTTCTGACCTGCTAGGAAGTTCCTTTTTCTTAAGTTCTTACAACTATAAAAAGCAGCTAATCCATGTCTCTCATAGTGTTAAATTTGGCGATACAGCTCACTCCTCTATGGTTTCAGGCAAATCCAGTTGCGTTATTATGCAAGATTGCCTCCTGGTGGTAGTACCAAGAATCTGCAAACAACATAATTTGCATGTAGAAAAGGCAAATAACCTGTTTTAAAAGCACGCTTCCTTTTTTAATGCAGGTCTAAGTAGAGGAAGTGAAAGAACTTTCTTTTCACTAGGACAGCAGGATAAACTGAAGTGTGATTTAAATGGTCGGAATTGAGGAAAAACATTTTGATACTTGACTGAAACGGAGTTTTCTAATGTCATGCTAGCAAGCAAAGCCTGAGAAGACTTTTAGTGAGACATTACAAAAAAAACCCCAAACAAGCCAAAATCAGTAAGATGTTCCCAACTGTACACTATCCACAGCAACAAGCCTAATAAGGTCTGAAACACTTGGTAACTACTAGACACAAAGTAAATGGCTAAGTGCCTAAATTGGACACAAAGACACCAGAGCAGACTTAACATCCTGAATCCTACACGCCTAAAGTTTTCAATTACAAAGAACAAGAGCAACAGCGAACAGAAATCCCAAACTAACTTTCAAATGGATTATTCTTTTGTGTAGAAGTGGGACAAGAATCAAATGGATGGATTTCTAATTCCAAGTTTTCAAGTGAAGAGAAACAGATAAAGACAGCTTTATGTAGTTGTTCAAGATCTAGGAAATCAGGAGGACAGCTTGGAATTACTGTGAGAGGAGGATTTTCATTAGGTCATGCTTCATATGACCCAGGAGAATTATTTCATGGAAGAGAGCATAGAAAGACTGAGAGTGGCAGCGTAACACAGGGCAAGATTTTTAAATGTCAGTTTTGTGAATTAATGTAATAACAAAATGGCAGAGGGTACACGTAGTGAACATGTGTTTTAGACTCAGTTTCCAGTAACTGGTCAGAAGAGGAAGTACTTTAAAGATAGCAGTCCAGCACATCATAAGATTTTCAGCCCTCAAAATGCCTGAAAAGCATCCAAAAATGCTTGGGAAACATTGAGAAATCCAACATTTCTACAGTGATTCTGGATGTTTGGTCATAAACAGGGTTTGACAGGCAAGAACAGACAAATGTGGTAACAGAAGGTTTCTGTAAAGCAAAATGTCTTAATAGTGTTAGGCAGCACTAAGCAGAAGTATCAGGGAAAAGAAGGGGGAAAAATAATTGAAAGTTTAAATTAATCCAAGGGTATCTTTTCTTACACTGGAGTAAAGTCAAATGGTGACAAATTAGGTCTCAGCTTTCCAGAAATGAAGGCAACTTGGTCTTCTGCAGTGGAACATAACAAAACACTAAACATGAGATGCAAGCTTCTCACTGATGGACCAGTGTCAGTACCAGGCATCATGAATTGATGAAAATACTAAAATTTGTAGTGCTACAAATTACTAAAAACTATTTTAAAAGTTACATTCTTAGGCAGAAAAAACAATTATTTTCATGCGATTGACCTTGCAGAGGAAGCAGCGATCCTTTTCATAGACACAACAGACATTTGTTCATGATAGCACGTTTGTTATCACGTGAGCAACACGTTGTACAATATGTAGCCAAAATCACTTGGCTGATGTAGGCTTAAACATGGGCTCAGATACCTTACAAGCGTAACCGAGAGAATAAGCAAAATGATTTCATGCTCTGCCATGATAAACCATTATCAGCTGACTGGCATTTGGATTTAAAGATGCATTTTTAAAAATAATACCAAGATAAATACTTAGGACTAGCTTTATGTAAAATTTTCCAGAAGTATTTAAAGGCAGTCTTTTCACATGCATCCAACATTGCTTTTTTCACAACTAAAGGAAATTCAAGGAAAAAAGGTTATTTAGTAATAACTTTAGAAAAGCAAGTGTCCTTTATACTAACAATGACCAGGATTCGAGACTTCACATGTTACTCTGCTTCCAGCAAAACGTGTAGGTAACATATGCTGGCAAAATGACACTGGACTAACAAAAGAAACAAGAACCTTCCTATCTTATCCATGTTGCTTTGGAAAGGAAATACAGTCAAAATGTAAGACATATATGGGGTAATTATTTTCTGATTATTTTTTAGGATCTGCTAAGACGACTTAATGAAGTCACTGGGATCTCTGCAGAGCCACAGTGTTCCAAGCTAGCCCCTTCTATCAGAAGGCTGATGCCTAAAACTGTAGACTGGAGTAAAGAATCTCCTTGTCCTGAGGAAAAAATGCTAGATGATGCAGAGTATTTTAATAGCAGAAACATTTAAGCACTACAAAACGCTAAAGCTGCAAAGTAGAATCAGACCAAATTTCTTTAAAGCATTTTGTATAGTAAAGGGCCAATGCTTTCCCCTAGGTAAGCTAGAAAGAGCTGGGAATCTTCACCGATTACCTTGCTGAGGCAAAGAACTCTTCCTCCCCTGAGCTACAGCTACTCCCATTTATACAGGAACATAGCACCCTCATGGTAGTTGGGTGGGTTTAAAAAACAAACAAACAAACAAAACAAACCCACAACAAAAAAAAAAGAAACCGCCTCAAACCACGAATGCACACAGAAGTTGTCTCAGATGTTTGGGAATGCTGGGTGATTTAGAAGGGTGAGTTATTACGCCTTGGAAGCTACAATTCAATCAAGTTGGCCAGTTTTCAGTACATGATGTTAGCTTTAAATACAATCACTTGGCTGATGTAGGATTAAACATGGAATCGGGTATCTTACAAGCATTAACAGAAGCAGCAAAACTGTTTCACTGTTTTCATAAATACCTCATAATATTTTTCATAAATGCCATTTCATAAATACCTCAGTATTCAAGCTCATCTCCATTTCGGTTACTGGACTTCTAAAAAAAAAAAAAAAAAAAAACCCGAAAATAACACCAAACCCCAACACGTCCAGTTCTAGACTTCCCATTTTGACATAACACTTCTATGCATTCACTGTATCAATGAAAAGCCTCTGACATACTTTAATCGGAGCACCCCATCACCTGTTACACCCGGTTCTAACACCAGCACATTCACTGACCATGCACATACAACAGCCTTCACCAGATCCTTGTTTCAGTAGCGCAGTTTCGTTGTTTTTCTACCATCCACTAGTCAACTTAGAAAGTAACAGACTTAGTTGAGCATGTTTTAGTTACAGCACTCACACAGAACTGCCAAACATCTCATTTTCTGCAAGTTTTATTTCCAATAAAGATTAATAGCGAAGTGCTGATGAACAAGAAGTTATCTGAATTATCTGTCTTTAGGAGGATTAGGATTCTTGCGTCTTCTATGATACCTAGAAGAAAAAAAGGCTGCAGTGAATACAAGCTTTGGAGAGTCTTGGATTCTCCTGACGTTTCCCCCCACTCCGGTGAGCGGTCAGGAGGTTACACAAGTAAGCAAGGCACAAGACACACGAGCACAACCCATCACCGCTCATTCGATGTCATCTCCGTTGTTCGTGGAGTTACATAATGCTACTTGTTTCTGCTGCTACATCTGCTGCAGGCACGCAATAATCCAATCAGTTCTACAGCTGAATAGGTACGAAGGCTGCCTTTTATTCTTAATCCTTTGTGTGAAGTTAATTTAATTACACAGTCAGCTTTTTCCTTTGGCTAAAATCATCACTACAGAACAAAGAGACTCGACGTTTAAAGGAGTTATGCCAGACTGTACATTAAATAGTGTAAGATTTTGCAGACAAACTAAAAAACAAATTCTTCACAACAAAAATAATCCCTACTTTCCTCTTAATTACCCACCCTAAAACAAGGAAGATCCTGTTTGATGCTCATTAAAGTGACAGCTACCCTTTGGCCATAGAAAGTTCTACCATTTCATTCCTTTTATCTACTCCCAAAACACAATAATTAACAAGCTTTCTGTGGACCAAAAAAAAAGAAAATTCTGCCTGTATGAAGTCTCCATAGCTATAAAATACAGCATCTACCAAAAGCTGTAGTAACATGGACTGGAACGGAGTAACACAAACTAGAATGCCATTTGTTGCCAGTGGTATATCTGAAGATATACAGTCCCTCGTTAAGCTGTCATGTGTACTTGCACCTCTCCTCCTAGCTTTCTGAATACAAGGCACACCAAGGTACACTTTTCACCATTTCAGATGAAAACCCTCTACTATTCTTAAGCCTGGGAATCATCCCATTAAGTTTTTTTTTGAAAAGTTGTTAAGGAATAGACAATGCATGTTTCCAAGCTGTATTTGGTTATATCCATTGAGGGTACTTTACATACTAGATTCCCTTATGATGACCTCACTTACACAATTTTAATAAATCACCTGAACCAGCAGCTAACTAGATGGTCTGAGAAATGTCTACTCCGTGACATATTTTACAAAAAACAAAGCCGCAACGTCTACCAAAGGGGCAGCGTTAAAAAAAACCTTACAGTCTTCCTTTTATACTATACTGCATTTAAGATTTTACGTAGTAGCCCACGTTCTAACAGTAGCTGATCTCACATGACTTGTCGTAGATTGAATCTAGTCATTACATTATTCCCGTATCTCCTTTTACATCCCAAAGGAACAAACATTGAAAAGAAAATACTCACTGTCCCACAGGATACCAGCGATGTTTTGTTGTGTAAAACATTTTGCTGAGCTCTTCAATTGTAGGACCTCTATTGTTCTTTAGCTCTTTTTCAGTCAATCTGGATTTCAGAACTTGATCAAGGGTTTCTTCTTTATTATTCACTGGATCTGGCCGTGGTATGGGCTATAAAAAACAGGAGTGTACATATTTCATTTTTCTGAGAAAATCAAAAAGCCAAGCTACACAGATAGCATTACAATTTACTCTTAACAGCTGAAACCAAAGGAATACAGAAGAATGCCAGTAATTGCAAAGGCTGTTTACCAACCAACCAACCCACCCGCCCC